AAAAAAAATGCTCTTTTACAAGGGCGAGAGTCTTGTCCTTGCCAAAGTGCCCTGCCATTCCTCCACCGTGGCCCTCATGGACAATGACCTCTCTTAGTAAACACCGAGGAATGCACAACTGACTGTGATGGAACAAGTATCCATCTGTTCGGTAATACTCCCCTATTGGCTTCTCCTGACATTGCTCCAAGACGTTTCTGAAATTCTCATCCGCTTCATATAGATCCCTTATGACCTTGAAGCCTGCAACTCGGGTCTGCATGGATGTGATCAATAAATGTCGACAACTCAGTGCAACTGTTACACGGTTCTGGCTTCCCGCCTTATCTTTAAGCACTGAAATGAGACTAGAAATTTTACTTAGATGGTGTGTCAGCCTTTTAGTTTGCTCTGGCTATTGAGGAATTTCAGGGCCTCATGATCTGTAAATAGTGTGAACTCGTTCTTTAATAGGTAATGACCGCAGTGCTCCGATGGCGTAGAATTCTTTGTCATAAGTCAAGTATTTCCTTCTAGACTCATTCAACTTTTCATTGAAGAAGGCGATGGGATGTCGTCTCTGGTTCAATATTGCTCCTATTCCTACCCTGAAGGCATCACATTCAACCTCGAAAAGTTGGTTGAAGTCTGGTAATGCTAGCTCGGGAGCCCAACTCAGTGTGTCAAAGCTGTCATGTGCTGCTGCCGTCCAAGCAAACTCCTTCACTTTTAAAAGTTCAGTTAAAGTGGAGGTGATGGTGCGTAAGTTCCTAATTAATCTCCGGTAGAATGATACTATCCCAAAAAATGGTCTTAGCTCAGTGAATGACTGTGTTGTAGTCCAACTGATAATGATCTTTATCTTTGTAGGATCCATCTGAACGCGTGCACTAGATACAATGTAACCCAACGAACAAACCTATAAGCTGTGGCATTTTAGAAACAAATCCTGGAGATACTGTGGTGGGAGCTATTTCTTATGCATTGCCTTTTTCATCTTCTCCTACTTAGTTATCTTCTCACGGCCTTCTCCTTTCCTCGGCCTTTGTAGGTTTTCCCACCATAAGACGACATTCTTCTTTAGTTTAATGACTAACTATTTTGACCGTTTGTCCTCTGATACGTCTTTGTACTCGAAAATCCATTCGACTGATTGTAGTCAGTCAATAAACGCATCTGGGTCCATGCTTCCCTCAAATTCT